GCGGTTTCGTTTTGCTTGCCGGGAGCTCTGTGTAAACAAGTCTCGCCTGTACCGTTCCGCCCCAAACTCGCGTCAATTTTACACCAGACCCCTCGCTGCAGCTTCACGCGTGGGCACAACATCCATGAGCTGCAGCCCTTCGTGGCTTCTGCATCACCTTCATAATCCCATAGGTATCCTGCACAGGGCTACAGGCGGCTCATCTTCAAGGCACCTGGAAAACTGAGAAAGAGTAGCTTATAGCCCCCACACAGCAGGAAAAGCAGGTAATCGTTCCGTTGTACCACAGAACTTTTACCTTTCGCTATTCATTTGTTTAAAATAGAACTGCATCTCTTTGGAGCACTGAAGACAATTTGTTAAAACCCCTAGCGGGTAAAGGCTGGAACAGTGCAGGTAACAAAGAGAATATGGGAAACGATCCCAGCACAAATTAGTTTTGTACCAGTGCTCCTTTCTGCGATGGCATAAAGGAACCTTGGTTGAGTGAAGTATATTTTAACCTGTAACATTTGTGAAACAGAATTTACTTGTAAATCACACTTCAAATGTTAGAGAAGAGATTCATGGGTAGGTTTTAGAGGACCATAAGAACTTTCATTAATCTTTGGTAGAAATACCTATCACTAATACTATTCATTCTACACCTGAGAGGATAGCTGAATAAATTTGCCTCAGCTGATAAAAAAAACTCCACAATTATGAAAGGCTTCTGTCTGGCAGATGTTATTTTAATACACAAAAGAACACTAATGGTACTGTGAGTGGGCTTGTACAGTTAAAACACAAAGCTCTAAGATAATCAAATTATCTCCTCATGATTCTTTCAGACTATAGTTACTGAAAGTTTACTTGTGCTCTAGAAGTATCTGGTATTATTGATATCCCAGTCCCATCACCCTTACGCAGTGTTCTTTTAAAAGAAGACTGTTGTCATCTGCTGAATAGTAGCTTCCCAGCTGACATGCTGAGGGTTCCCCCCTCCTTCATTTCACTGTCAACCCTAATTATAGGCAATTTCCTATTTGCATAGTAATACATATAGCCACAATCACTATAGCTTCAATGAGTGTTCAGATAGCTAGTGGCAGAATCAAGTTCTCAGATCTCTCTAGAGAAAGAAACACTATTTTCTATAATACATTCCACAAAATTATTTGAAACATATACAAGACCATATATAAAGTTTTGTTAGGAAGACTTAGCATTTAAAACACACTTTTATTTGAATTTTGCTAAGGCCAGTCCCTAATTAACAATTAACTTCAAAATACCAAAACCTGAGTTAGTCAAACTTCAAAGCATTTTTCACTGATACTACAGCTGCTGCTGCAATGTTTCAGGAGGTGGTTGCTTTTTTCAAGTATGCAACAAGATCAGCTCTCTCACTCTGCTTTTTAATGCCAGCAAATATCATTTTTGTTCCAGGAATGAATTTCTTGGGGTTTTCCAAGTACTCCATCAGTGTACTTTCAGTCCAGGTAATACCTGAAAAACAAATACAATAAAATGCAAGACTTGCCCCATATATATCAAGATACAAAGCATCTCAAACCTAAAGTGTGGTGCTCTTGCACATCATGTGTCTAGAATACAAAAGGAAAATGAGCAAATTGTACATAAGAAATTTTTATTAACTATGTTTCTATATCCACGCAATACATAATTCATAAATTGTCTTTGAGTCACACAAAAAAGACCTAATGTTCTAGTGAATGAGTGTTTTGTCAAGCTGAGTGAAACTGCAGCACAACACCAGTAGAGGGTAGCAAGCAGCAAATAAAAGCACTCGAACAAAAATGGAAATCAGTGCATTGATACTACACAATTCTGTGAAATATGCACATTCTGAGCTGACATGTTAGATATTGCTAAAATTCCTTTTAATTTAGAGACTGAATAATTTTGCTTCTGAAACTAACTCAGAGTCATCTGCAATACTGAGATGTAGATGGTTGTAAGAGTCATTTTTCTGAATGCTTTTCTGTTGTACCTCTAAAGAAAAAGGCTTTTGAGAATTCCATATCCTTTCTCCCCAGCATTCTACCTCATCCATGCCATATTAGCTTTACCTTTGTTCTTGTTAGAATCTGAATAAGAGAATCCTGCAGCTTGTCCTGTTTTACGACCAAATAATCCCCAAAGATTTGGGCCTGTCTTGTGCTTTCCACCTTTTTCAACTGTGTGGCACTGAGAGCATTTCTGCATAAATATCTTCTTGCCTTTTTCAACATCACCCATTTTGATCTATGACAAAAAAAACAAGAGAAATTTACACAGTGACAGAGACAAGATCACTGTTGTTGGTCCTATCTCCTTCAACAGTTTTAGAAAATATTTGTCTTGCATCAGGAATAAAAATTATGTTTATCCAACAAATAAAAATTTTAGCCTTAATTATAAACTTAAGTTTGGATACAACTCTGTTAAGACCTCTTACACAATCTCCTAAATATATTTTGTCTGCTTATTGATGGTCTTGAATTAATTCTTTACAAATTTATTGAAGATAGAATAGTAAAAAGCACCATGAGTTTTTTTTCCTCCATCTGTAAGAGATGCAGAATTTGTATCATTGCTTCAGAAACCTCTGAAGTAGCCTGAAGTCACCTTATGGCTTTCCTAGAGCTACTCTAGGTGGTAAGAGAAAACATCTCTTATTATGATTCGACCAGAAGATCTATCTAGAAGTAGAGAAGCATCTCAGGATTTCCCTAGGCAACACAGTGCCCCTTAGAATAGCTCGCAAGCTCTATCCCAGTCACATATCCAGAACATTCCTTGCTCCCATGTCTATTAAAACATGAAAATTACCACCACAGTCCAGACAGGGAGACTCACAAGGATTAGTCCTGTCCAGAAATACAACCTCAAGGAATTCTTTATAATATAATAACCTAGTCCTGACCACATGGAAAGAAGCCCGATGTCCTCAGGACACCGCTGCTCCCAGACAAGCCGCGGGCCCCCTGCGTTGCTCAAACCGGGCAGGCCCGAACCGCTCCCGAGCGGCCTCAGGGGCCTCTTCGCCCTCGACGAGGGCCGGAGCAGGTGTCGTCAAGAGCGGCGTCCAATCACGGGCAGACTAACTCAGCAGGCTCTCTTCTCATTGGTCCTCAGAGGCCCAAGGGGCGGGGTAAGACCCGCTCTCTTTGTGGCGGGAGCAGCAGGTAGCGCGAGCGCTCTTAACGGCCCTAACGGCTGGAACGGCCGTTCCCGCGTGAGCGGGGGCAGGCAGCACGAAGCCCCCAGCAGCTCTGCCCTCCTTCCGCAGGCTCCTTCCCCACGCCGGAACACTGGATTTTTATATTAAATCGCTTTACATCTCACTTATGCCCTGCCAACAAGATACCCTGTATCTTCAGCACTGTTCAGTACTCAAAAAAAAGAAGACATTTTAGCTCTTTTTTTTTTCTTTTTTAAACAAACTTTGGTGTTTCTCATGAAACACCCCTATTCCTACATAAGCCCAGAGCTCGCGAGCCGCGCCACCCCACAACCATTGCAGCAACAACCTCTCCTAGACAGTACCTCTGTGGGCGCCTGCCTCGCTGTATGAGCGCGCTCCCGCCCCCGCGGGGGCGGGCTCTCATTTAAGGCAACCTTTTAAAAACCGGCATTATCCGCTATAGCTGGAAGATGTGGT